TGTGAAGTATCACTGGCATTGGGAACTGCTGCATACGAAGATGCCCTGGAGCAGATAGAAGCCATTCCTACAACGAAAGACTCAGCTGTTTCTGATATCCTTGGGGTTCCTGCTTTTCCGAGGCGAATCAGCATCTCTTCAATGCGGCTGTGCAGGGAGTGCTTGGCTTTATCTGGTATGTGCGATATAACCCCAGGGAGCAGGCTTCTGATGATCTGGGAAGATGCCACGTCATTTCCATGAAGGAGCGACAGAATGCTATTCTTAATGGTTGCTCGAGAGACTTTGTACCGCCTAAACTCGCTGAAGAGAGCGGGCAGCATATGGCTGTATCCTTCGCTGGCATCACTGCCATCTTCATTGTACTTCGTACTGTCTGCGTCGTCAGTGTGTGCGCTGCTCTCTTCTTGGCTGCTGTTTTTCCTTTTTTTCTTTGGTTCTTCATTTTTTGTGCGGCCGTTACTCAAATTGTTTTCAAGCAAAGTGAGCCCAGAGACATCCCAAAAGACATCGGTGTGCATCGAAGAGACGTCAAAGAGCTCCAGGATCATTCTGCAGAACGCAGGCACCCAGCCCCCCATTTCGAACAGCTCCCATTCAAAGCTGCAGAGATAAAGAAGCCTCTCTCCAGGCGCCGAAGAGACGCCCTCGTTAAAAACTTTGAAGAAATCAGAGCGAATTCTCTCCGATGCGCAGGAGAGACCCTTAACAAAGAGGGGCTGCAGTCCTGCCGCTATCTCCTCCCTGTGCATCTGCGGGTCTACGTACGCGGTGTGCACAAGGCCCAGCCTAATTTCCTGGAACTCTTCAGAGTCCATCGCCAGTAGGACACTTTGCTTCAGCGAAGAGGACACGCTTATGCTCTGCACGATGCTTACAACGCCTTCAGCTGTCTCTGGGCACCTAAACACCTCGGGGTGCCTGGATAGAATCTGAGCCAAAAGTGTAAGCGACTCAGGAGATGGATACTTTAGTGCCAGTTTCATTCCCGCGGACACTGCATCTGTCAGAGATTCAGCGCCCTCCTTCAGACCTTCCTCTAGGAGGCGCAGGGCCTTCTCTGCTGTTTCTTCTCCGCCCAGCAGGGTAGCACAGGATATAGCCAGCTTTGGCTTGATCCTTGCTACGTTCAGCCCGTGAAATACGTCTGATACGCACTCTCTGTCAATCTTTGCAGCCACGGGAAGGATTGCCTCCAGGGCCTCAGTTCCTGTCTCTGAGATGCACGCGCGCACTGCAGGCCTCAGGCTCACTGCGAGGCTCTTGTTCCCCCTTGCTGCTTCTTCGTACAGCTTGGCCACTGACTGCGGCTGTATCTTCTCTGGCACTGTGGGCACGGGGTCTTCGCTGAAGGGCAGCGCTGAGATGCCTTCCACTACCTCGCCTGACTTCGTGTGGATGTAGTACGCAGCATAGGACTTCGTAAGGATCAGTGCTACTCCGTCGCAGATAGTTCCTGCTTTGTACCACACGATAGAAGCCTGCAGAAGAAGCAAGGCAATGCGTGCACTCCCTGACGCAAAGAGCCGCTGTATCATCGTGCACACACTCGGCTCAATCCCTGAGCCTGTGAATAGCTGAGGAACTCTTGCAATTGCTGGGAGGAGAATGTACAGGTGTGTCCTGTAGAGAGTTTCGTCTTCGAGGGCTGAAGAGATGCTTTCAATGAAGGGCTCTACCCCGTGTCTATTGAGGAGAGACACAATCCCTCTGATTGCGTGCTCAGCGTACTCGGGGTGCGTAGTGATGAGGGGCAGGAATCCGTCGGTGGATGCCTCTGGGTTGTACTCCACGAGGAACGCAGTGATGCACACCGCATCTACGGGCTCCAGGTCTTCCATCTCCAGGACTCTCTGGAGGTATCCTGATATTCTTGCTCTGATCTTTTCCCTACTTTTTACCTCCTGCTTACTTTCTCCCATCACAGGGCTGCTGTTCCCGCTGTATCCCCTGGCGACTGATGCAGAGCGCGTGGGGCGGGGCGATCTTTTGCTCTTAGCTGCACTTTCTGCGGGAGGAGCGGGGGGCTCCTTCTCTCTGATGAGGAGCATAGCCACAGATATCTTCCACTCAGGGGGGCCATCTACGCAGAGCATAGATTTATCAGAGAGCAAACTCTCCACGCTGAAAAGTATGCGCTTTTGAACTTTTCCGTCTGCGCTGAGAATTAATCCTGTCTCTAGAGACTGGACAAATAGAGACCTTACGACATCAGGAGACACGTCTTCAGGGAGAAGGACAGGGGCAGTGCGAAGCTCTTCAGCTGTAAAGTACTCTATCAGGCCCTGCGCTGACTGAAAGCACCACTTTCTAACCACTTTCCCAAATGCTGCATCTCCAGCACCCTCCCTCCACAGGGAAAGCATCCTCTCAATGGCTTCGCCTGCGAATGACTCTCCTGCTGCATCAGAAAGAACGTACTGTCTCCATGAAGACTGCCCAGAGACTGCCAAAGGGTGCACTCTATTCCCGCCTGCATCATTCTCTACGAGGTGTCTGTGGAGTATGTAGTACGCTGTGTCGTCTTCATTTGCCAGCCTAAAAAGGAATGAGGCAGATAGCGGCCTAACTGCCAGATACTGCGATACTCCTCTTCTTCTCTTTGGCTGTACATTCTTGAAGTGGTGCAGATATGCCAGCACAGACCGCGTGAGGAACTCTCCCTCTGGAATATGCGGGGTGCGCGCGAATATCTCAAATATCATATCCACAGTGCTCTCAGATAGAGAGTCAGCGCTCTGTGCTAGGAGGTCAAGTAAACTGCTACACAGCCCAGTTTTAAATATCTCTCTGTCCAGCTCCTGCAGGTGCACTATTCCTGCGATCACGGAGTCTACAGCCTTCTTCTGGCCAATCGTGTTGACTATGGGGACAAGCCAGGACTGCAGCACCTCTCTATCAGGCTGTCTTCCCAGGAAGTACATCTGTCTGAGCCCATCCCTGCACACCTCGCATATCTCTGGCTCTTTCGAGAATAAGCCCTTAATGAGGACCTGGGATATTTTGATTAGAGAGGGCGCAGCTGTAAACTCAGGCGATGATGCAGCAGCCACGAAGAGCCGCACTGCTGCCTGCTTCAATACGACAGTGCCATTGGGCGATGCGATTATCCGGAATGCTTCCCCAATGAATCTCTCTATCCTCTCGTCTATGAGCATCATCAGGGGAGGGCGCAGGCCGAAGAGATAAGTCATCACCTCCATGTTCCCTATCTGCACGCCAGGAGGGAGCGCTCTCAGGGGCTTGCTGAGGACCTGTGCCAGCACTTTCTCTCTAATGGGCAGCAAAAACGCAGAGACATCGGAGCCAAATAGCCCTGCGCTGTAGTCAAGGCACTCTCTAGCCACGAGGCGCACGCTCTCCAGGGGGTGGCTCAGCTCCTGTGCAAAGGTGAGGATGAGCTGCATGAAGTGCTCAGAAGATGTGGGCTCTGTTTCCACTGCAGGGTCGTGCGTGGTTCTGCATATGTGGAATATCCCCTCCCTCACTGCCTCTACGTTGTTGTAGCGCAGGGAAGAAAGAGCAGAGAACAAAGCTTTAACTATCCTTATCTCCTGGTAAAGGAGCCAGGATGTTCCGAGGTCCAGAGACTGCGTCATAAAGATGATCCCTCTGATTCCACAGAGCTTCTCTTCGTCGCTGTATGCATAGCAGGCTGAGCAGAAAGCGTGGAGAATGTTGTAGAAAAGGGTCATTTGCGAGGTCTTCTCGCGGGATCCGCAGATGCGCCTGGATATATCGTGCATTGTGCTGAGGACACTCTGTGCTACGCTTTCCGTTGAGGGCCTGCCAAAGGCGCGGGTAAGCGCTGAGATAAGGAGAAAGACGTCAACGCGCACGCGGCGCTGGAAGTCGTCAAAGTGCATGAGCTCTAGGGCCTTGAACACAGAGAGGAAAGAGTAGAGAGTGATGAGGAGTCTCTTTGCTTCAGCTGCCTGCGGTGATATTTCTGCTTCATTTTCTGTGCCCTCGCTGCTATTTGTGCCCCTGCTGCTCCCTGCGGTGACTGTGTTAACTATGGGGTTAGCAGCACTAGGGAGAGCAACTGTATTGGGGATGGGCGCAGGAGGCTTCATCATTTCAGGGTCTGCAGCGCAGGAGAAAAGGGAAGAAACTAGGAGACACGGGATGGAGGATGATGGGTAGTCCACTGTCCATCCATCTACGTCTTCCAGGGGGTTGAATGCACCTGCGCGCACTCTGCTGTGCAGCTCCTGGAAATCAGCCTCTTTAATTCCCTCTATGTCCTCTGTCCATGCTGCGAGTATTTCATCAGTTAAATCGCTCCACCTGAAGAAAGAGTGGAAATAGTGGCCCACAAGTGCTAGAGCCTGCTCTGTGCTTCCTGTCTTTTGTCCCGAGAGGATGCGAGAGGCCTCCTGCAGAATGTCATGCAGGGGTATTTTTATCTTGTCTGTTTTTCCTGGGATAATGATGGTTATATCCGTGTTTGGGTGGGAGGATCTGTTGTTCCCTACGAACGCTGTGCTGGCTTTCCCTGATAGCTTGCCGAGCAGCTTAATCGACATCACAGAGCTTTCCTCCTCCTGCACAAGATCCACTAGGGCTGTGAAAATCGCATCAATATCATCTCCTAAATACGTCATTAAAAATTCTGAGTTTAAATTGTCTACGCAGGTCTCCAGTGTTTCCATGGCCAGCCCGCCCAGCTTTCCTCTTATCTGCAGCGCCCTGAGGAGAGACTTGGACATTTGTCCCAAAAAGGGAAGAAGACCTGAAATTTTGACGGGAACTGACAGGGCTATTTCCACCACATCGGTGCAATTGGGGTGCAGTCTGGCAATTTCTTCCATCTTTTCAAAGAAGGAGGGGAGGGCCAGAGCCATCTCTTTGTGCAGGAGGTCTAGCTTCTCTTTTCCTGCGGTTTTGAAGAGATCCTTGACTATTTCCAGGGTGTACAAGTACTTTTCTTCTGTCATGAGACACTTTTTGAATATTTCCTGGAGACTTCCTGCTACAACACTTTCTATCTCTACCGTATGGACTGCAAAGGATGTGAAAACCTCTCTGAACGCCAGGACAATGAACTCTTTGTCTTCAACTGAGTGCACTATTTTGAGCAGCTCTTGCAGCACAACGCCTGCGAACTTTCTTGCAACGCCTGCGTATGCCAGGAACTGCCTCCATATGATGAACATGTCTTTGTTTTTCTTTGTGCTTTCAAAGAGTATGCCCACATTGTCAAGGAGAATGCGCTCAAAGAGCGATGCGTCTAGATAGAAAAATATCAGCAGAAATTCGCACACGATGATAATGTCTGATCTCTTCTCCAAATCAAAGTGGTTGAATGGGCGGAATGCGAGGCCAAGGTTGTCAGAGAGCTCCTGCACTTCGTACGGGCTGAAGCACTTCAGCGAGAACACAATCGCATTTGACGGGATGTTCTGGAAAAGAGAGAAATAGTGCATTGTGTTCTTCATTCCTCGGATGATCGATCTTAGCACGTTCTTTGTTTCTTCTGTCACTTCTATCTTGCTGTACTGTCTGAACGCTCGCACAAATGTTGTGTAGTTCATTCGGATGAAAAAGCCTTTCTCTCCTATGCTGATGTTGTCGCTGATTGTGGTGTCGTTGATCTGCACGAGAACATTCGCACACAGCTTGTTAAGCGTATGGTCTGACGACTCGCAGAGTATTTTCGCTGCTTCTCTGCACACTTTCAGCGAGAGGTGTCTGTGTGTCGTGTCTCTGAACATGATAAGAAACTCTGTTGAAAGAGTCAGCCCCAGAAGCTTTAGAACGGGGTTTTTGGGGCGGAGAAGGATCCCGTCTTTTAGGATGACCTCTGAGTACGATGCAAACACTCTTTTTTTTTCTGTCTTCAGGATGCTCAGGTGGTGGTAGATGTCTTTCTTGATGGAAATGGCGTCGTCTGGGCAGTACCCCAGCAGAAAAATGCTGAGCTCGGGAATGAAGGCTGATATGGCCGTTATTTCTGGCGAGTTTTCTTTGAGAATTGTCATAAATAGGGATATGATTTGCGTAAGCGTGGTGATGCACTGCAGCTTTATGTTTTCATTGATCAGATAGAAAGAAATAAGGTCTGTTCTCTGTGTGAAAAAGAGAGCAAATGATGACAAGGCATTGGCCAGGGGCACTGCGTTCTGAATAAACTCTTCCTTCGCAATCTGCGTAAGAAACAGCAGAAGAATCACGGGCTCGCTGCTCAGAAGAAGCGACTTTCTCGTTTCGTTTGCGTTCTCAGATGAGTACAGACTGCCCGTCAGGTTTGTGAAGAAGCTGGTGAGAGACGAGATTATCCGGGCGTGCTGCTGCGGGGATGGCTTCGTTTTCTTTGTGATCTCTATCAGACATCTCACAGCAAGCGAAATGTTCGTCAGTGTCTCGTTTTCCAGGGTGTCTATCAGCCTGTCTATCAAGTCTGCTGGTATGCTGCTGCTTACTCTGATTCTTATCAAAACAGACATTGTTTTTCTCTTATCTTCCTGTGTTCCTGATAAGCCCTCGTGTAGCAGGGGAATTATCTCGCTCTCTATTGTCTTTGTGTCCTGGATGTGCTGGAGAAAGAACTCTGTGGCTCTCCAGTTGTATATTGTGTCTATTCTGTCGGACAGCGGTAGGCTTTTATTGTGTATGTCTTGCATTTTCATTTCCTTATAATTGTAAAAAATTTAAAATAAAAATAATCGCGGAAGCTTGGTTTTGTATTTATTGCTGGACAGATCTCTGCAGGAGCGGGGGACACAGATAAGGCTTTCCCTCCGCGTATTTACTATTTTCTTCTCTTTTGGAGGATTTCCTGCATTGAGAGATGTTTCTTTTTGCAGTGCACTGTTTTTATTGCAGCGCCCTTTATGTAGCACTCCTCCACCTCTTCTGTGTTGTCTTTTATCGCGTTCTTCATGTGGATGTTCATCCAAAGGTCGCACTTGTAGAGAGTACCTGTGTACGTGTTTCCGCTTTTCAGCTCTACGCGCACTTCGTGTCCTCTTGCTATTCTTATGACGGTGAGTGGATACATAAAAATAATATTTGGGCTTCTTTTTGCAAAAAGTAAAACCAAATAATATTGCCAGAAGAGATTCTGCTGTATGACTATTATGCTAAAGAATTTTAGTTTGAATGTTCTCCTAGAATTAGCACAGTCACTAGTACCGGTGATAGGCCATCTGCGAGCTATGAACAGATAATGGATGGAGAGAGTGCAAATGTGCAAATATTAATATGAATAGTAAGAAACTCTGGCTTAGTATGTGCAAAAAATACTGTTTTATTCTTGTATAAACCACTCTGAGAGTGCCATACTGTTCTAGAAGCTGATTCTTCTTCGATTTTGCATGCGAATCTTTTGTAGATTGCAGCTGGCTGATGCGAATGAATGAGAATGCTTCGTGTGCCTAGACTTGGCTAAAAGTGGAGAGACTAGAAAGGATAAAAGAGTTAAATTCTGAGACTTAGCATGTTTAGATGTGAATCCTCACGAAGTAATGCACTTCTTGCCAAGGAGGCCTTTGACCCCAACGAACGTTGCAACGGCTAATAGAAATAACTGCCATATGACATAGAAAACTGGAATAATAATTGCCAGAGCACCAGCTGATAGGAATATAGTGACTGGAAGAGAAGGATGCACTCTTCTTTTCTTGTATTTCAGATTGGTTTCATAATCAAGGACAACATCATTTATCGAAGTGCCTTTGATCTTCATAAGCAGCTCGTCCTTCTTCTTGAACTGTTTGTACATCCAGTTGGAAGAATCGTCAGCAATGGATTTGTTAAAAACAATGTTGTCACAGATAATTACTGCCTGCATTCTTGAACACCGTCCCAGCAGGATATTTTTGAGGGTAAAGTAGTGCGATGGAAACTCTTCAAGTGTTCCGTCCATGTTCAGGTAGATCGTGCAGTCCATGATGTATTTAATGCTGTCTTTCAGCTCGTTTACAAGGAGAGTAAAACCTTTCACTCTGGGAAATATTACTTGCTTGAATGGAGCTGTTATTTCACTTGGAATGGTCACGTGGAGCCCCAGTCTCTCTATCTCTTCTTTTGGAAGTGTTTCAAGTTTTTTTCTTATTTCTATTTGATTTGACAAGAAATCTTTGCTCGCCTGTTCTGTGGCAGGATCGATGAATGTTCCCTCTGGGAAGACCACAAGGTTGTAGTTTGGGCTCTTGTGCAGAACACTGCATGCCTCCTTCAGCCTCGACTTATCTTGTTCCATTTTTCTGCTGAGGAGAACAAAGTTGAGCATTTTCATTCCCAGCTTCAGGAAGTAAATTGACCCAATGGCTTCCTTGGCGATGAATGAAATATTTTCGCGGCCTGTCTCAATGAGCAAAGACCAGAGATACACCCAATCTATGTACGTTGTGTGATTTGATATGATCAGAGTGTTTTGCGAATTGATGTTCTCAGGGGGCTCTTTATAAAGCATGTACGTGTTGTCTCCTATTAAAATGCACAGCAGCGACTGCGTAACCAGCAGCCAAATCTTCCCCACCGAAGATTTGAACTTCCACATGTCCAAGCCCAGGGCAGTCAGCACTTTGTGCACAAAGTATACCACTGGAATTATGACTATGCACGATGCAAAGTAAAAAATGGCAGCAAAGACAAAGTAAATGGTTCTGCACAGCGATGTCAAATTTTGGATAGTTTTTGCGAGCCCTTTACTCATGTTTTATGAAAATCTTTTATTTTTTATAATTTGTATAATAGCATAATTACCAGGGAGACAAACAAACAAACAGAACACACAGCTGGCTTGCTCTATGGTTTTCTTTTCTTTTATTTGCACTCTGAAACTACTTAAAATTATTTCAAAATACCTACTGGACGGGCTTGTGTATGTTGGTGTACCCAACACCGCACGATTTAATGAGCAGCAGCTCATCAGACAGCCCGGACTCAATGTCATTTTCTGTTTTTACATACGGCTCTATTGTGTAGGTGTATTTCAGTATTTCTTCCAGCAAAAATAAAACCTCTTTATCTTTTTTGGATATTTTTCTGATTATGACGGCGCTTCCATCGACCGTTGTCAGGGCAAGAAGGACGAAAACAAAATGCTGTATCGTGTGGCTGTACGATCCGCTTGTTCGAATGTTTTTTAAAAAGTTTCGAAGTAAATTGGTCATTCTTTTCTCTGCAGGAACATCAATAAGAGAGTCAGATCCATCAATAGTGCACTCTGCCTCGTATATCGAGTTGTTTCCAAAAGCAAGCAAGATTGACCCAAACCCAGGAGTCTCTGCTGATGTTTTGCTGTTTCCTATGTCGTTGTATATCTTAACTGACGGCGTGATGGGCTTCAGCTTATCTCTCGCTACATTCGTTATTCTGTGGAGCACATCGCTGTTTATCCGCGCAGAGTAGTTTATTCCTATGATTCTCTTCAGCTCCTCTCTTTTGTCGCAGACAATTGGGTTGAGAGAATTTGCTGTCTCTGCAATAAGCAGCACATCTCCGTCGTGCGAGGGGTGTATGGCTCTTCTGTTGATTTTTATTTCAGAAACCACTCCAAACTGGCTCAATATTTTGCAGTATACGGCTCTGATCATATCTATGGAAAGAGAGTCTTTTGCGTTCGTTGTCCCCTTTATGCTCAGACGCACGGGAATCCTGCAGAACGCCAGCATGGGAAGGATGTTGGCTATTAAGTCAGGCACTGTGTTGTGGATGCACTGGAAGGAAATGGCTCCTCCTTGTATGGTCCCGGGGGTGTACGAGAACCCATCGGGCTTTTCCTCGATCTCAGAGCCCTTCGTTATTCTTTTCATAAACTGGAGATACTCTCGTGTTTGGTTGCTGGAGCTTTCGCTCAGCGGCTTTCTGAGAAGGATCTTTCTCCTGGAGATAGTGCTTAAAGTGAGAGCCAATTTTACTTCATTCGTACTGATTTCCATTTTGTTAAAAAATATTGTTTGCAAAACAATTTCTAGAATGAGAGCCAACGACTTGCTGGAAATAGAAGAAAGGATTTCAAATCTTCTGAAGGAAGAGGAAAAGAAGAAGGGGGAGAAGCAGGACATGCTCAGAAAGATACAGGAAAGCATCAAAGAAAGACAGGAGCTGTGCGTGCGTCTTGAAAAGGAGAAGAAAGAAAGAATAGATAGGCTGAACACGCAGAAAGAGGCTCTCGAAAAGGCGAAAAGCATGGTGGAGGAGAAGGAGAACGAGGAAATCAAAAAGAAAAAAGAAAAACTTCGAAGAGACTACACCAACGCAATAAACAACGTGAACGAGCTCGAGCTTGTTTTTTCAAAAGATATGACAAACACTGTCGAAAAAATACTTGCAATGAAGAAGCACGCAAAGACGTCAGGCTTCAACAGTCTGGCCCACGCTGTCAGCCTCCATCTGATGGAGCAAATGAAAGAGTTCATTGTGGAGTCCAAGGCTCTGTCAAAGTCTATACGAGTGGACAAGCTGATTGACCTTGTGAAGGGGCTAAACAGGTCAATTATCATGGCGGATAGCAAATACACAGACCTGGAGAAGAGAAGAGAGCTGTACGTAGAGGGATTCTTCATCGATCTTGAAGAAAACTTTTCGCACCACTTTTTCGGACAGTTTGACACGAACAGAATGGACAAGCCGGAGTGGTACCTGGAGTATCTCATCAACGAGCTCCCAGAGTACGACAAGATATTCTCTGTGCTGTCGCAGATTGATGAGCTAGCTGCAGAGACAGAGGACGAAGAGTTTGAGCAGAAAAACAAAGAGAAGTACTTCCACAATCTCATAGATAGAATATTCACAGACATCATATACAAAAAGCTGAATGAGTGTGTCTACTCTTCCTCAAAGCAGCAGAAAGAGCTTATTATGCACCACGCAGGGGAAATTGGAGAGTTTCAGAGAGAAATATCTGCCGCGTACAAGTACAAAGACAAGCCAAAGATTTTGGAAAAAGATCTCCTGTACATCCAGGAGGTTTTTGTTGAGGCGTCGGAAAAAGAGCTTCATTCCATTCTAAAACAGGAGTACAAGGAGTGGAGTGATCTGTTCATGTACCTTCTCAAAAAGATATTTAAGCACGCAGCAGCCCTGCACTCGATCATTCCTTCTGCCCATGTGTTTCTCCTTGAAGCTGCCATACGAAAATACTTGGAAGGTCTTTCGGCTTTTTTGAACTCTTTTCTGTACAAAAAAGAAGAAGAGCAGAAAATTCTGGTGTATTTCATAGAAGAAATTGCGCACCTCGAAGAAGAGCTCCTGGACATAGAAACAGAGTTTGGCATGGCAGTGGGAGAGATAACGATTTTGAAGGTTCCGTATCTTGGAAAGTTTAAAACAAATATGCTGGAAATACTGCAGAGAATTATCGAAGAGAAGATAGATGGGGTAATGCGCCCGTTCTCTAGCTACCGTTTTATGGATGAGCAGGAAGAGGCAGACTCTTTGTCTAATCTAGCAGAGGTTCTTGAGGCTGCCAAGTCGCTTTCAGAGGCGCCTGAGCTGTCCAGCTGGATAGAACACGCAGTTGGTGAGACAGTGGATGAATGCATTTGCCAGAAGATCCTGTCTGCTCAGATAGATGGAGACTCCGAGATAGCCAGAATTAGAGGAGTGGTGAAGTCAATAGCCGACATATTTAGAGAAAATAGCATACAATATCGACTGGCAAGAACTGAAAATAGATGCAAAGAATTATTTGGAGAATGAACAAGATTATATACATATGTTCAATATTTTAATAAAATACATTCCAAAAATAATCATTTATATAACAAAAGCATCTACTCTTTAACTGCCATATAGCTGCAGATGTGTGATAAAAAAGCTTTCACTCTTTTCTATTTTCAGTACACTTGCAATCTTGCAATCCAAAAATAAAACCGTATATATTTGAATCTATACAAAAGTAGGATCTGCTTCTGTCTATTCTCTTCTTGGTTCAGTTAAGGCGGCTAGCTGCTGTCTGCTGCTGGATGATAATTTGCTCAGCTAATGAAGAAAAAAGGTGTATGCATCTCGTACTAAAAGTAAATTCGAGAATATTTAAGAGTTGCAATTTTCAAATTATAAAATATTTGCATAGCTACACTTTTTTCTTCATTGCTGCATCATCCAGTGCACTCTCACTAGCGAATTAACACTCCAAATAAGGTGAAGATAAACTAGTTAGAGTGCACAGCAGTGCGGCTAGAGAATAAATGGCACTCTATCTCGGAACTCCAAAGTAAATGTAATATGACAGTATAAAGTTAGCACAAACCAGCGTTCTCTGCTTCTTCTGTGTACAATATTAAATATAATCCAGACGTGTTTTATTGTAGTACTACTGTTGTGTCCTCAGAATATAATAGAATATCTTTAGTAGTCTTTTCTTGTATACTGTTAAAGCAGATAGCAGCACTATCTACAGTTGATTTTCAGGTGCTGGAGGCGCACTTCCTTTTTTGTCTTTCAGCAGCCCAGTGAACAGAAACTGCGCTCTCTTTTGCAGGTCGTGCGGTGTTCTTATCTTCAGGTAGTAATCAAAAGCAAACTCGCTTACTTCTCTGATTTTGTGCCACAGCTCATCGTAGCACCCCGGGCTGTCTATCTTCTTGTTAAGCGTCAGAAGAATGAACCGGTCTGCGTCTTCCGTGAATCCCATGGACTTATTGCTGATGGGATACGGCACTTTGAAGTTAGCGCCCTCTTTTTTGATTTTTTCTTTTAGATACTCTTTTATCTTTCGCGTTCGAACCAGCTTGTGCTCTCCCTTCTGAATTTGTATCTGTATCTTGTCGGAGTCAGAGAGCTCGTCAATTCGAGACCAGAACACCTCCCCGTACTTCTTAACCTCCTCTGCATCCTTTTCAGGAAGCTCGCTCATGATTTTCTCCAAGTCGTCTCTTCCGTACTTCTCGCACGCTCTGATGTACCCCCAAAAGTCTCTTTTTGTCCAGTTATTGAATCCCTGCTCAAAGAGTATTTTTTTCTCGCCTTCTTCCTCCCGGGTAAGGAGGTTCTCTGCTGACCCTGTTCTCTGGAACTCTTCCATCTCCTTTTTCTGGAGATGGTGCAGTCTCTGCGGATGGAACTGGTACTCGGGCAGATTGAACTGTCTTATCCCAATGGACTTTCTTTTTGTCAGAATGCCCTGCGTTATTCCCCGGGTTCTGCTGCCCTCTGGCGCTACAATGTACTTAGCCAGTTTCATTTTAGCGCTCTTTACGCTGTAGTCTTCGCCCTCCCATTCGTATACTTTTATTTCGTTATTTGTCAGGTCTTTCAGGACTGTCTGCTCTCCGATCTTTGCGTTCATTATGTCTGTTTTTTCCATTCCTATCCTGATGATCTCTTCGATGGATCTGTCCAGCTTATTCTCTCCATCAAACACGTTGTCCACTCCGCTTGCCAGTATGCCCAGCAGCTCGTTCTGCGAGATTGCGTTATCTTTCTTCTTTCCGTTCTGCACTATTATCTCGTCCAGCTTCAGCTTCTTCATCGCTCTTTCAAGTATTTTCTCTTCTATCGTATTCTCAGTCAGGAAATTAAACACGTAAACTTGCTTCTTCTGTCCTATTCTGTGCGCTCTGTCCTGTGCCTGCAGGTCCATCTGTGGATTCCAGTCGTTGTCGTACACTATCACCACATCAGCTGTGGCCAGGTTGATTCCAAGCCCTCCTGCCCTCGTGCTCAGCAGGAATATGAAAATTTCACTATTTGGCTTATTGAACTCTTCTATGGCCTCGCATCTGTCCTCTGTGCTTGTGCTTCCGTCAATTCTGCAGTATTCGTGCTGCCTGAGGTTGCAGTAGTCTTCCAAAATGTCGAGCATCCTTGTCATTTGGCTGAATATAAGCACTCTGCTTCCTTTCTGCTTCAGATGCACTAGGAGCTTGTCGAGTATCATCAGTTTCCCGCTGTTTTCCACTATGTGCTCGCCTGTGGTGTACGGAGGGCCAGGCTCCGCCCCGTCAAACAAGTACGGATGGTTGCAGCACTTCCTCAGCTGGCAGACAATGTTCATCAGCTGCACCTTTGACCCGTCATTTACCAGATTTTCTGCGTCTTTTTCCAAAATCATTTTGTACCATTTTCTCTGCATATCTGTCAGCGGTGAGTACAGATTGATAATTTTTTTTGGAAGCAGAGACTTCTCCACGTCTGCTTTCTCTCTTCTGAGGATGAAGAGACTGAGAAGGTTTCTGAGCTTATCAACTGTCTCATTCTCGGAGTCATTCGATGCCGATTCGGCCCACGCATCAAATGCTTCGCCATCTGAGAACACTTCAGGAGCCAGGAAGTTCAGCAGAGCCCACAGTTCGTGGATATTATTCTGCAGGGGAGTACCGGTCAGAAGGAGGCGGTGGGAGCAGGGAATCAGCCGAACCACTTTGCTCAGGATTGTTTGCTCGTTTTTTATTCGGTGCGCTTCATCGATCACAATGTACTGCCAGTCAACTGTCTGCAGCTGTGCTTTGCCTGCTAGACACATCTCATACGTTGTGATGCATGCGATGTAGTCGAGCTCCTGCAGCTCTTTTGCCCGCGCTCGGATGTCTTTTCTGCTGCAGTGGAAGATAATTGTTTTGACGTTTGGCATAAACTTCTTGAACTCGTTCTTCCAGTTCTGCAGCGTGGACTTTGGGACTATCAGAAGATTTGGCAGTTTGTTTTTCTTCGAGGAGTAGAGATACCCCAGCAAAGAAATGGTCTGAAGAGTTTTTCCCAGACCCATTTCGTCGGCTAGTATGCAGTTTATGTTTTTTTCGTACATGTTGATAAGCCAGTTGAGCCCTTCTATCTGGTAGTGCCGCAGAGTTCCTGTTATGTACGCAGGAGAGTGCGTGAAGAAGAAAGCCTCTGAGTCGTCCATTCCAAACTCGTCTTCCTCTTTTCGGTTTTTGCGAGGCTCTTTCTTATCTAACTTTATCTTCTTTGGCCCTCTTTTTGCTGCTTTTTTGTTTCCCAAAAGTATCTGGAAAAGCACGTTATCCCCGATGAACTCTTTATACCTTTCAATTACTTCCTCTTTCATTACTTGCAAATTTTTAAAATAAATAAACTATCTGAAATACTTTGATTAAGTATTTGATTAAAAGAAGTGGTCCATGCTCTGCAATGGCAGCAGACTCTTCTCTCTTCTCTTTATCTGTGTGCTCTCTGCTTTCTATGGGCTAAATTAACTAAAAGAGCAATAATCGTGAAATGGAGTGTGCTTTTGCTGTTTTTATTATTTTTCTGTTCAAAATCGGCTGGTCTTTTGTGTTTTAATTAATTTTCTATATGTACTCAAACACTCTCGATGCTATTTCTTTAATCTCTCTGTGCGCTGCTGTGTCGTCGCTGTGAATGACTATGCACCCGTTCTTTCCTGCCACGATTTCTACCTCTTTCCCGTTCATTGTCTCGTGGTGGTACTGTTTCCTGTCTTTTAGCACTTTGTCCGTTTTCAAGAGAACTCCAAACGATATTTTTCTGTACTTTGGGTTTCTTGTGTGCAGCTGCACTTTGTTCCCCACCGACTGCACCTCTGCTATGACAATGTCCCCGATTGCGTAGTACTCGCTCATCATTATCTCGTCTAGCTCTCCTTTTCTTCTCTGCACGTTTCCTATGAGGTTGATTGAGTTGAGGAGAAGAACAGACTCTTGTCTTGTGTTTATTTCAATGTACCACCTTTTGTTGGCTATTCCTGTCACCTTTCCCACCACAACATCTCCTATGCACGGGTTGTACCAGTATGTTTCTGTTTCAACAGTTATTAACCGATCTACCTGCGTTACACGCCCGCAGACACTTGCCACAAACATGTCCTCTGCGTTTTCTTGTTTTTCTTTGTGGATTCCGTGCCCCTCCAGACAGTCGTCTGTGTATTCAAGTCTCTCTCCTGGCCACACCACTTTGGACATTTTCTTCTAAATTTTCATCTGCGAATAATATAAATGCAAAAGAGCTGTCTCTACTTTTGAAAAAGTAGAAAGTGTAAAAGTAACTAGCTACGAAATAAATACTACTAGCTAGCCTCATAGGAAATTAATTACTACCGCACTCCTATGCTGCTCATCATACTAAGATAAAATATCCATCTATTATTTCATTTAATCTCCTATGCATCCTTACCAAATTCATAATCTATAGCTGACTTAAAGAGGATGTAGCGTAAGATCAGAGAATAAGATAAGAGGGTAATAGAAGATATTTAGTATAATGGAGCATAGAAGTAGAATTGATTGTGGCTATGTCTGTAAGTGTTTGTAATTCAAGTAGGTGCAAGGAAACTGTCCATATGAGGGTACAAGAGTATATGTGTGCTCTTCCATGGGAAATATTGGCTAAATTAACTAGTAAATATTTGCTCAATTAGTGCATGGATGTATTCTCTAAACAGTAATTGCGAAATTAATTAAATTATAAATCTATTTTATTTTTGAGCTGTTCTCATGGAATTAGATTGGAAGAGGCTCTGCTTCAGAAGCAAACCAGAGCTCGTTGAAGGAGCAACAGGAGAGATACTTATTTTCAAGGAAGTGTCTGATCTTCCTGAAAGCGTGCGAGAGATAGCGTCTTCTTTACCTGAAAACAGCAAGAACATGTGGACAGTCTACAAAGACAGAACATACATCCTGTGCAAGATGGCAGAGGACAAAATAGGAAACCCTGTGGAGGTAAGATCTACTGCAGCAAAGGCAACCAATGCGCTGGTGAAAGAAGGAGTTGCAAATATCCTTATTGAAAGCGTCTGCAGCATGACCCCATGGATTGCTGAAGGAATTATTGTTGCATCGTACAAGTACGACATACTCCACAGCAAAAAAAGCATGCAAGTAAACGTAGTCTACAAGGGAGACGATAAGGAAGTGCTCTCAGCCATTGAGATAGCACAGGCCCAGAACTTTGCGAGATTCTTGGTCGACACGCCTGCCAATAAAATGACGCCAACCCTCTTTGTGGAGTATGCAAAGGAATATTTACCAAAAGAGGTAACCGTTAAGGTGTACAACAGAAAAGAGATCCAAGACATGAACATGAATCTCTTCCTCGGAGTGTCTAATGGCTCAGCAGAAGAGCCAAAGCTCTTGGAAATATCCTACATGAAAGGCTCCGAGTGTGTAGCACTCGTTGGAAAGGGAATTACCTTTGACTCTGGTGGCATCAGCTTAAAGCCAGCAGCTAAGATGGCTGCAATGAAGGGAGACATGGGAGGCGGTGCATCTGTGGTGAGTACCATCGGTGCGCTTGCCAGACTATCAGCAAATGTGAGTGTAGTCGGAATAGTTCCACTAACAGAGAATATGCCCTCAGGAACAGCCACAAAGCCCGGAGATGTGCACATAGGCAGCGCAGGAAAGAGTGTTGAAGTGGATAACACCGATGCAGAGGGAAGACTCGTTCTTGCTGATGCTCTGGACCATGCGCTGAAGTTCAATCCTGTCAAGATAATTGACATTGCAACTCTCACAGGAGCTATCACTGTTTCTCTTGGGCCTGTGATGGCGGGTATTTTCAGCAACTCAGATGATTTGGCTAATGAAATATCCCAGGTATCAAACGAAGTGGGAGACAAAGTGTGGAGACTCCCCGTGACAGACGAGTACAAGTCTTTGATCTCCTCTGAGGTGGCTGATCTAAAGAATGTGGGTGGGCCAGCAGGCGGCTCCATTACAGCTGCGCTTTTCCTTAGAGAGTTTGTGCAGGATAAACCCTGGGCGCATTTGGACATCGCGGGTGTTGCATTCAACACACTGACGCCAGAGCTGCACGGAAAAGGCGCTACAGGGCGGCCGGTCAAACTGCTGACGCACTGGATGATGAGGCAATAAATAAAATATTAGCTTTTGAAAGTATTTGTGTAGAGTATTATTTAAATTATATTTGTAAAAATCAAATTTTGTAATTCTGTAATTCTGTAAAAATATTGTATGGGACAATTGACTTGTAGCATAGAAGAATTGAGATAAAACTCTTGACTTATTCTAGTACAGAGTATGATAGAAAAGTGCTGTTTTCTTACTAATTTCTATCTTAACTGGTATTGTAGTTTGATCTTGATAGTACCTATCTACAACGATAAAAGTAGACAGAAGTGAACACTATCGGTTTTTAAGCGAGGAGAAGAGTAAATACACTAATATTTATTTAATTGAGTGTGTCTGCACGAGCTGCTTTTGAAACCAAAGTGAGCTCTTTACATTTTTTTACTAGAGTGTATTTTTTCGTGTTGCATAAGATTATCAGAACGAGAAAACGTCTTGTTGCACCCGTGGAACGCACACTTGTATGGCTTCTCTCCCGTATGGATCCTGTAGTGCCTCTTCAGATGCTCAAACCGTTTGAATGCCTTGAAACAGTCTGTGTGCGTGCATATAAAAGGGCGGTTGTCTGCTCTTTCTTTCTTTTTTGGCGCTCTCTGCTTGTACATGTTCCTTGAGATAGAATGGCTCTCTTCCTTCGGGATGTGCATAAACTGGCTGGGCGTAAATCTGTTCATGTCCATGGTCGGCATGTTGTACGAGATGTCTTCGATGTTGTATGCCGCACACATGTCTATGATTTCATTAGCATACGAGTCCGTGTAGTCTCTTTTCGCTGTTTCCTGGAAAAATGTCTGATTGAACAGGCTTTCCTGATCATTTATGCTTTTCAGGATGATTTCTTCTATCTGGATCTGTTTTTGGCCTTCTGAAATATTTTGTTTTAGATTTGTTTTATCTCCAAAGATATTATTGTCCAGAGGCGACATGTTTTAGATTTAGAAACTGCATACGGAGTATTTTATTCCAGTATGCACCAATCGCCACTAAAAAAAACAAACCAATAACTTGTCTGAACAAACCACTTAAACACATGCTCTAGCGAGTGGACAAATAGAATGCAAGAGCAAGCTTCTCCGATTCAGCGCAAATTTGCCATTAGATGTGGCATTTCCGAAGACTAAGTCAATTAGTAGTCTGTGTATATCCAAATGGTATAGGTTTGCAGTTCAGTTGGCCTATTTATTCCCGATATGGTATGATTAACAGCTAAAAAGTGACGAGTGTTTATGTTTAAGACATTGGTGGTGTAGAAGAGCAGACACTATTGCAGGAAAATTCTGCTTTTCTGAAAAGAAGTAAAATTGAATTCTAAATATTTTTATTCTATGGGAAGCACTTTCTTGCACTCGCTCACTCTGACCAACTTCCAAAAATACAAAAACAAAACATTCACATTCTCTCCGCATGGAAACTTGATAGCAGGACTGAATGGCTCGGGCAAAAGCACAATAGCTGCGGCAATTGCGCTGACTCTGGGCGGAAACAACAAAACAATAGGAAAAACGCTTGCAACACACGAGATAATAAAATATGGAGAGGCCAAGGCAGTTTCCGAAATAGTCATAAAAACAGATAAGAGAGAAGAGCTGTCTGAAATAGTAAAGATAAACGGAAGAGCAAAGGAAATAAACGTCGTAATAACACGAATAATAACGGCACTTGGATCAACGTATAAAATAAACAGCATTCCCGCATCGTTCAATCAGGTCAAAGAAGTGACAGAAGCACTGAACATACAAATAAACAATCTGGGACAGTTTTTGCCGCAGGACAGAGTAACAGAGTTTTCAGGGCTTGCAGAGGAAGAGCAGCTGGAAACCTCCTTGAGAACATGCGATCCAGAGATGCTGAGAAAAAAGAAAGAGCTAGAAGAGATTGATGACAACCTGTCAAACTACAAACAGAAACTGCAAATAGAGATAGACCAGCAGAGCCAGCTGAAAGGAAAAATAGCAGCACTTGAGGGAGAGAGCAAAAAGCTGAAAGAGTTTTTGGACCGGAAACAGCAGATAAGTCTGCTCCAGTGCAAGATCAAATGGGTGGAGTATGTCCTGCTGAAAGAGCAGTATGACAAGCTAAAAGAAGAAGCTGATAGGAATAAAGAAGAGTACAGCAAAAGCCAGACAAAAGTGGACGAGCTGGAAAAACAGTATGTAGAAGAAAAAGACAGACTGAGCAGATCAAAAGAAGAGAATGCAGAGATATTGGATATAGGAGAGCTCACAGAGCGCGTGAGAGAAATAAAAGAGAACGAAGAAGAAGAGAATAAGCTGGCGGACAGGATAGAAACAATTCAAAAGAGAATATCCAGAATAGAGCAGGAAAAGTTTGAAATAAAACAGTGGAAGGAAGAAAAAAAAACAGAAAAGCCAAAACCCAAATTAACAGAACACCTGAAAGAGGAACTGAACAGGCTCGAAGAAGAGAACAGAGCGTGCAAAATGCAGGACAGCTCGTGGCAAATAGACTCCGCCATGAAATCAACAGAAATAAAAAACATCGAGATGTCGATCAAAAAAGAAGAAGAAAAAGAGACACGGCTGCTGGAGGCTTTAAAAAGCATTCATGCGGACACGTACACCACACTGAAGCTGATGGAGTCCAGCGAGAAAAAGTGGGAAGTTGACCTGCCCGCCATTCTAACGATGAAAATAGCCAAAGAAGAGTACAAGGAAGAGCTGAGCAGCCAGCTGAATGTCCATGCACTGACGTGTTTTGTGTGCCATAGTAGAGAGTCATTTCAGGAGTTTGTCCATGAGTTTAAAGACAAAAGGAATTTGGCCATCAATGTTGTAGAAAGACAAAACAGCACACAAACAGGCGGAAGTGCACACACACAGCGCCCACGAGAAGAAGCTCCACTTGATGAGAAATACGGCATGGTGTATCTGTCAGAGTGCATAGACGCACCGCCGGCAGTTAAGGAATTCTTGAACATATTTTCGAAACTCTCGTACATTCCCGTTACGAAGATATCGCTCACAAATGAGCACGAGTTCTTCAGCAAATACAAAAAGATCACAAGAATTATCTCGAACAAAAGAGTGATTGAAATCAAAAGGTCCTCGTACACAAAGGATGAAACACTATCTATATACCCTATATCAAAGGGAATTGACATTTTAACAAAGCCTCAGGACAGCACATTGAAAAACAAACTAGAAGAGCTGAAGGCAGAAAGAGAGCAGAGAACACAAAATAGACAAAATGTGCTAAGAAAAAGAGAGGTGGTTGAGAAGAGAATTAAAGAGCTGGCGCACCTCAAGGAAACAGATCACCTGGAAAGCGAAAAGTACGAAAGAAGAAAAAGAGCAGCGCAGGCGTACGTAGAAAGAACAGAGGAAATCGAAAAAGAAAGCATAAGTCTAAAAGAAGAAGAAAAAATGGTAAACACCGCACTGAAGAAGCTGAAAAATGAGGGGAAAATACCGTGGAAGAAGCTGCCGCTCAATGATTTGCTAAAAAAGATCAGTGAGGTAGCTGAGAGATCAAAACTAATGCAAAAACAGTATGAGCTGCTGGAAAGTATGCAGCACACGCTACTTACAGAAAAACAGGGCCTAAAAGACCAGCAAGTTAAGAACATACTGGCAGAGCACAATATGAACGAGCTAAAAAAACAAGCTAAACAGAAAAACGCTGAAGCGAATGCTATACACGAGATGAAGCCTGATAGCAGCGAGATAAAAATGAAGCTGAAAGAGATGCCCACATGCATAAAAACGCTTACAGGCCTGCTAGCACAGGAGAAAGCCAGAGCAGAGCTGTCCATTGTGAACTATGCTGCAATAGATGACTACGAAGCCTGCAGACTCTTGCTCGAAAACCAAGAAAAAACACTGCGAAAGCAGGAGAAAGAAAAAGGAAAATATGAGTCTATTAAAAAACAAAAAGAGGCCGATCTTAAATCAGAAATTGACCTGCTGATAGAAAAGATAAACGAAAACGCAGACTGCCTATTCAAATCAGCTGGCATCAAGGCTGAAGTGCTCGTGGAGTACGCAGAGTCACCGCGTAGATGGAAACTAGTTCTAAAAGTGCAGTTTAGAACGGAAGGTAAGCTGGAAGTCTTATCAGCAGGAAGACACAGCGGCGGAGAAAAAGCCGTTTCAATCATACTCTATCTTCTATCAATGCAAAGACTCTCTGAATCTCCTTTTCTTTTGGTGGATGAGATAAACCAGGGGATGGATGCAGGACACGAGAAAACTATCCACAGCATGTTGGTGGGAACCAAAGCAGCCAATTCAAAACAAATTATTGTAATTACTCCCAAGCTCATTTCAGGCCTGGACTACGCACCAAGCACGAGAGTCCATATAATCATGGAGACAGCATGAGAAATAAATTCTAGAGGTACAACATAGTGTAATTCAGTGCCTAAAGAAGAAATTAACGGATAAAGGGTTTCCCCTGTACTTCTCAAGACAAAATGCCGTCCTTGCGCAGGGGCATGCTGATCATCTCAGTTATGTCATGTAGTGTGGTGGTTAGCCAAATGTGCAAAAAAAATAATAATAAATATCCCCCAGAACAAAATATGTTCAAGTTATTAAAATGCATTTACAAAATAATTTCACTACAGAAATCGAAAAACATCCACTTTATTTAAAATTATTTGGCTTTTATGTGCATATTCAAACAAAAAAACAAAGAGTGAAAGATGAATGATAGGACACTTCAGCTCATAAAAGAGTGTGGCATAAGGAACAGGCTTGAGGATATATACAGATATGAGAGCGCAAAGGAGGCAATGAGCATCACTCTTGGAAACACAGGATGCGACCAAGACTCTTTCATAGGGTCGCACATACTGGCGCTGATGGAGAGCAGAGTTCCTGTCATAAATATGTGTAGAAAAGTGTTTGAGTACAAACTAGATCTGCTGTACATTGCCAATCTAATGGGCTTATCTCTCGATGATTTGGTTTTTTTGGAGACAAGCGGGTCTGAGCGGCTGCTTGTCAGAGGAAGAGACAGAATATCTTTTGGAGCAGCAAAAATCACAGCCTTTCTCGTTGATTTCAGCAGCCCAGATAAGAGCTTAACGAGATATGGCGCATTTTCTGTAGATAAAATAGTTGATCACAGAAAAATACTCGAGATGGACACGATATGCAAAGAGGCACACTGTGTATGGGTTGAGCTAAACGTGGGGTCTTGCTGCAGCCTAGTTTTTCACTACATCAAAACATACCATATGGACAAGATCAGCACATCCCCCAAGCGGTTTATGTTTCTCTTTCTTCTAATAATTGCTATCCTAACAGACACATCGTTCTTAACAGAAAGAGTGCACAGTCTGGACAGATCTGCAGTCCAAGAAATACTTTCATTCACTGGAGAGGAAATGAGAGGAACACAAAGTATTTATGAACAAGTGAGAGAGCTGCAGGAGAGCGAAGAAAAAGTGGACACAGAAATAATTTTGCAAATGTGCCACAAAAGAACTGCATACACAGACGGTTCAGGAAGGTTCTTTGGAACAAGCACTGTGCACTTTGGATACGATGACTGGGTGGCAAGAGATACAAAGAAAACATTTTTATCAAAAATAGCAGAGTTTACATCCAATAAAGAGTACGAGTTTCTTGTCATAAACAGCCACTCGCACGGCGTCAGAGAGTTCTTCATATATCCACCGCCAAAGATTGAGTTTGTGCGAGAGGTGCTGTATAGAAATCAAGAAATAGACAAAAGAGAAATAAAGAACGATCCTGAGCTAGCTGTTTACAGAACGGACAAGAGTTTCACGGGAAAAGTAGTTATACCCAATATTTTAGATTATTTATCCAAGGCGGAAAATGCTAAAAAAACAGGCAAATTGTATCAAAGTGTTATTTTTATTCAGTAGACACCGCAGCCTCCGTAAAATCAATGCGAGTTTCTATGCTCTACTTTACTCCCGCAAGATGCAGGATAAGATCTTTCATTTGGATCGTCTGCTGGGCGGGTATGTGCGAAGGTACTTCTGTTTGGTTATCTACAAAATAAAATATTTTTCTATCTGTGTCATCTAATGGAATAGCTTTCAATGCTCTACCCCCTCCGTTCTCTATCAGTTGTTCTATCCTTTCCCTATCTTTCTCCATCATAACGCATACAGTCCAGTCTGAAAACGCCATTTTGTTTGTTTCGTTTTTCTTCATTCTCCAGATAGGAGCTGCCATGATCAGTTTTCTTACTATCTTCTCGTTCTTGGGGGCGTCTATCTTTAGCTCTCTTGCTTCTAAACTATATTCAGCATCGTTTGTATAAGTGTTCATTTTCAAATCATCAACTACTCTGCAGTCCATGAGAATGCACCCAGCTGATATTGCCGATAGAAATTTAAGAGACACATTAACAGCTCCCACTATTAGGTGTGTGCACTCTGATGAGTACTCCTGCGTGTCAATTACGGTGGCGCCTTTTGTTCTGAGGACAGAAATTGCATTCTCTTTCAGAGAGTCTACTAGCCCTGTAAATTGCACCTTCCAGCTGTCTAGGCTGCTTGCTGCATAGTTTACCGATGCTCTTTTTTTTAGCTCTTTTCTCTCCATTACCACCTCTGGAACTGCCCGAAGGCCTGGAAGAACTTCAAATTTTCCTTCGTTCAGTTTTTTCATGTAGTAAATGCACTGGTTCAGCCACTCTAAGAGACATATGCTGATTTTGTACATTTTAAAATAGTTTTTAATTTTGCTTTGCAGCTGCTTGCTTTTCCTTTCTACTATACAGTGTGTGATCTTGCTGCTCATTTGCATTGATATTTCTCCTCCCAAAGCCTGCACTTTGTTTCTTGTTCTGAGAGATTCTTCTTTGCAAACCATTGGAAAAATAATTGATTTATCGAGAGGAAGCACAGGCAGCTCAGGCTGGTGCACAGAATATCCATCAGAGGATAGCAGAGTTCCCAGATCTGCGCTGTCAAGGATCCACTGGTACCAAACAAGGTTCTTTCCCTTGGTTGCATCGCCAAAGTGTATGGTGTAGTCTACATCAGGCCCCTGCTTCTCCACTCTGTTGCCTCCATGCTCAATCACCAGTCTTCTGACGAGTTTGTGGATCTCTGTGGTTCCTGCAAAACAGAATGTTTTTCCATTGAATATTTCATCTGTCAGAGGCTCGCTAATAAAACTTTCGTACTGAATGCTTTTTTTAAAGAGCCCAAACTGGTCATCGAACACGCTCTCTGCTGAAATAATGGGGATATCGCACTCTTTTGCGTAGAGAACTTTGTCGCTTACAAGGTCTGACGAGTTGACAACGAGAAAGTCGCAGTACCTGTTCATGATCGAAGAGTGGTACGCTCCATTCAGCTTGTAGTAATTAATAAACAGGTCGTTTGTGATGCCTGAGGTGCAGAAAGTGCATCCTTCGTACTTTCTTAGCCTAAACTGTTTTATGTTTTTTATAGATAGCGATTTGTACACCCAGAGCACGCTGATAACAGGGATTGACCATCTTTCAGCAAGGACTCTTTTTTCTGTAAAGGTGCTTTTATACGCCAGAAGGTAGGACGTACCTGAAGACATTGTCTCCTCCAGCTGGTATTCTGTTTTTTCGAATGCTTTTGAGATGCACTCTTTTTCCAATGAAGAGAGCCCGGTGGTTGTAAACTTAACAGATTTCATATAAAAAATTTAATGTTACATTTTTACAATGTCTTTAGAATCCACAAAAAGAAGAGTCAAAAGGAACAGAGAAATTATTTTGAAGACAGTCAAAAGAGGCGCAATCATAAATGGCTGTTTATTGCTTGCAAATAGAGTGTTCAAGAAAAGATTTTTGAATCTCGTGTTTGTCGTTACCATCGTGCTAGAGACTGTCGTGGCAGCCTTTCTAGCTTATTTGGTCAAGCCCACCATCATAAAAAATAGCAAAGGGCGGGAAATAAAGGACATGGGCGTAGACCTGACGTCAAGAGGCGTGATTCGCATTTTCATGGACATAATATACACGTGCTTTGGGACTAAGCTGGCGAGTCTGGTAATTGGCTCCAAGGCCTTCATTATTATGCTGATATTCATTCCCATCACTGCGTACTATGAGATATTCATGCGCAGAGAGGTCCGCAAAAAACAAAGATAGGGCTATTCTAGCATGTGCTGTTCGTCAAGTATTTCCTCTGAGATAATTTTCAATAAATCGTTTCCCTGGAAGTCTGTCCATTTATTTTCTTTATATTTGAAGTGGTACGGGCCGGAGATGGGGGAGGAGAGCCAGATCTCGCTCTTTGGCGGCTGTCTGTTCACCACGAATGTGCCTTTATGTGGGACATCAACCGATATCACGTTGTCCTTTAGAACCACGCTATCAATCGAGTTGTCGAGTGCAGTGAATATTCTCTGCATGATTCCTTTTGAAAGTGTGTCGTATGAAGGCTGGAGCATAGTCTGGTGCGATCAAATTTTTCAATACTTAAGACAAAAATAAGAAGAACTTCCAACGTTTATTGAATAATTTGCATACCGTGCAGAACAAACACAGCGCAAATTTCTTGGATTGTCTGAAAAAGAAGAAAAACCCAGCTAATGAGATATTAGCAGTGCCAAAAGAAACAGAAGGGAAGTATAGTAAGCAGTTCCCATCAAAAATAGGAATAGAAGAAGAGGCTTAAATCCTTACCAAAAGATAATTTAAATAGGAGAGAGTGAGCGTTTACAGTGTAACAAATTGAAAAAATGGCAAAATACTCTCAAATTGGATAATAGCTGCAGGGTTGCAGAATTCAAAAATAAAAAGAGCATGGCATCTATTTCTTGTCCTAAGATGCAGAAGTACTTCATTTTGTGGTTAGAATAGAGAAATGCACAGTCTGTGCATGGAAAGTATTTTATTTTTATTTATTTTTGCCATTGAGATTCTTTTGTTTTCTTCATATGCGGGTGTTTCTTTTTTCATATTATTTATGTGCAGCACAGAAGTAGTCAGAGGACTGGCTGTTATTGGAGAAAACGGCAATAGAATAATCGGCAGCCCCTTAGTAGTGTTGCAGACCGAGAAAGACCTTGAAAAGAGAATGTTTGAGAAGGCGAAAGAAACCGAAGAGTCTATCATTCTGTTCGAAGACAACCTTGTGCTATATAAAATAGTAGGCGATGTTTGCATCCTGCTCTATGCGCCCAACAGCGGGAATGAAATAGCGCTTTTCAATGCACTGGATGCCTTTTACTCGGCAGCTGTTAAACTGATCAATGGCCCAATGACGCAAAAGTCCATAGATAAGCACTACGACGAGATATTTCTGCTAATTGACTCTTTTATATACAAAACTCTGATTGTAACAGACAGCACGGCAGATCTCCTGGCCTCAATTCCCAAAAGAACCTTTGAGAGCTTAGAGTCCATGCAGATGCCATCTAAGCTGTCGAGTGCTCTGAAAAAAGCCCACAAATCATTTGCATCATCGTGGTTTAAATAGTAAAATAAAAACTCATTAAATTTTATTACTTCAAAATACACTCCTCAGATCAATCTACATTAATACATTTCGATCATTTACTGGTCTAACTGCTATTTTTCTGCTCACTGCAGCAGCTCTTGCGGGTTCTGGCGCTCTGCCTGCATATTGCACACTTCTGGATAGTTTGATAGCTCTGCTTTTCGGTACTCGTCCATAATCCACTGGACAGACTCCCGCGCAGGCTCAAACTCCTCAATGTACTCGTCCCCTTCTCTTTTGTACATGTCCAAAAATGCATTTCTCTTCTTTAAAATATCGTACTGTGTGGTTATTTTTTGCAGAGTTCTCCCAAATCCCGTTGTGTTTGAAAGAAGCAAACCTGAAATGCTGCTGCACGGTGATTTTGAAATGGCCATCTGAATGTTGGCAGGTGCCCAGGGCGCGAACTTAACAACTTCTCTTTGTCTGAGCCGCTGCATGCTTTTCTCAATCTCCCCCGCATCTACGCCCATCATGATATTAACAGCAGACAGCACCCTATTGGTCTCGCTCTCTTCAAAGTTAACTAACCTTGACTTTGGAAGAATGAGCCGTCTTTGCACATCTAAGCACGTTGTTTTGCGTATCGTATTTGTTCCAGGGTCAATAAACGGTGAGTACGAAGGAACCAAAAAGTGGCATCCCTTTATCGGAGAGGCCATCGACAAAAGCGTAGAAACGTCGCTAAATCTGCTCCCTGGGAATCTCAAGGTGGCTGTTGATGCTGCTGCCACTGATGATGCCAGTTTGTTCGTGTATGCCAAATTCGGAGACGACAGCTTCAAGGCATCCCCTACAACTGACGTAAGAGAGCCATTGTCCATTGCGATTACTCCGTCTGTCTGCTGCATCAGCCTGTGCAGTGTGAGAACTGTGTTGTACGGCTGCACAACAGACTCACTAACCTCTGTATTATTTGGGAAAATGGAAACAGTGAAAATTGAGGTTTTGGGCATGCAGTCTCGAATTTCTTCCAAAAGATAAGACCCCAGTCCAGACCCTGTTCCGCCTCCCACTGAATGGAATAGCATAAACCCGTCTAGGAAGTCGCTGCTTTCAGACTCTTTTTGGATTATTTCCAGAAGAGACTCTCTGTTTTCTTTTCCCTGCTGGTATCCGCTCGACCACACGTTTCCAGCTCCTCTGCTTTCAGCCCCCACCCAGACGTTTTCAGGGCTGAATAGGTGCGGTTTTTCGTTTGTGACGGATGAAATCACTCTGGGCTCCAAATCAATGAGAATGCCCCGGGGGAAGTATCTTCCATCGTACGATTCGTAGAAAAAGGCATCTTTTCTGTCGTTAGACCTCTGCTGCAGCACTTCTCCACTGTTGGATAGCCCGTGCTCTTTGCACACTTTCTCCCAAAACTCGCTTCCTATTTGGTTCCCGCACTGTCCAACTTGCAGAGTTATTATGTTTCCCATAAAAATATTTGCACTTTCTGTAATTAATAAGCTTATTTTAAAATAAAAGCGTAGAACAATAGAGAGTGCACCAGAATATCAGAACGTGTAAAAAGTAGAGAAGTGAAAATCAGACATTTAGTTGAATGGGTGTGTATACTGTAAAAGAATAAGAACAGTGCGACTGTGAAATATGTGGTTACTTATATGCTCTTTTGTGGCAACACTGTTTGTGAATGTCCTTGTATAGCACCTTAAAATCTTTACAGCTCTCCAGAGATTTGTTATGCTCTGACAGTAGATCACAGACTAGTTATCTTCCTCTGTATGAAGAAAAATAGTTAAGCAATTTTAATTTCAAAAAGCACAGATTACATGTAGACTAGTGGATATGCTATTTATTATTCGAGAATGGGGAAAGAAGTTAGCGACACCTTGGCTGCTTTGTACTTCTCCAGCTCTTCGGACTTTCCTACTAGATTCTTTGATATTTTTACGCCTGCCTCTCCGAAGAGCAGAAGAAGCTCGTTTCTTTCATACTCCTTCAAGTCAGCGCACATGCTGAAAAAGCTGTTTTTCATCTTTTCAAGACTTCCTTTGTTTGAGGTGATCAGTATGATCAGAGAAATCACAAGGCCGTTGTATGTTTTGTATTTGACTGCTAGCTTATCCTCTGAAGACGTGCTAGTCTTTATAAACAGATACTTTGACGCCTCTTTGATGCTTTCTGAGGTTGTGCTGTGCAGGTTCTTTTCTGCAAACTCTTGCATCGCATCTATTGTTTTTTCGGAGAGACTCAGCCTGCTCATGGCATACGTAACGGTCTTTACGATGTACAGTAGCAGCTTATCATCTACTTTTGATACGCTTGGAAGTTTTATCAGCGCCATAACAAACTTATCAGACAGTTTCATCTCGTTGATGGTTGCTATAAAATCAAAAATGATCTTCTGTCTTTTCTGGTCTATGTTCTTTCCTTCTTTTGAAGACTTGTTGTACGCCTTTGCGCCTTGGATTTCTTCGTGCCTGTCTGTTCCAAACCGCTTAAAGAGAATCTCTTCTGTTATTTTGTACTCTTCTTTGTTTGTCACCGGGTTGAACTCTTTTACTTCATAGAGCTTCACATCAACTGCATCGTAGCTGTCTTTTGCCCTGCTGTCAACTGTCAGGTTTACTCCGTTAATAGCAGATAGGTCCATTTCTGTCAAAAAAACAGACGCAATTGTTTCCCTAACTGAGCTCTTCACGGCTGCATAGCTGTTTGGGTCCTGCGCCTTTTTTCTTCCCTCTTTTATCTCTCTTTCCGTGTAGAATCCGTCCAGCTCTATCAGTCTGCGCACAAGAAGAGCCAGCGCCTCTTTTTCCACTTTGCTGATAAAGGTGCGCACTATTTTTTTGAGAGAAACCAGGAAGTTCTTGTGCAGCGCATACTTTGGAAGGGTTTGGAGATAGATGGAGTCGTAAATATGGCCGCTTTCCAGAAACACAGAAATAGGCGGGAAGTTGAATAGGTGCACGCTTGCTGATATTTTCTGGAACAGAAGGTAGGGAGACTTTTGCCGCAGCAAGTCTCGAGAAAAGTTTGGGTCTGCAGAAGAAGCGAGGCCCTCTTTCAGAAGAAACCCAAGTGAGTTCCATTTTTCAGAAAATATTTTGTCTAGAAGGCTCTGCGTGCCATCATACTTCTTGGCGTCAAAGTTTGTGGGAGCATCGATTGATAGAAGCAGATTGTAGTGGTTTGGCACAAGAATCTCAGTCGATCCACAGAGCCTGGAAAGATAGAGTAAGATATGAAGTATCTTGATGTGCGACATGGCGTACAACAGTGTATCATATGTTGGCCTTTTTTGCCATTTAACGGCTTCTTCTACTTTTTTGTACACGGATTTGTACTGCTCATTTATCATTGTAGTGAACACGAGTAGTTTCTCCTGGTTTATGCTTACATTGTTCAGTCTATCCTCTGTGCCGGGGCTGCTCTCTGCTGTGCTTGTGCTGCTCTTTACGCTCACATTGTCTCCTTCTTCTGGCTTATCATCTACTTCTTCTGAATCATCGGAATACTTTACGTTTTCCATTTCTGGGATAATCCGTACCTCTTTTTTCTTTAGTATTTCTTTCTTTTTAATGTCATTCTGTATGATATGGCCACTTTTGTCTCCTTTTGCGCTGTTTCCGCTTTCGCGTATGTGGATGCTTCTGTTGATGGCTGTGCTAGCCAGTAAGTCGATTGTATCGATTATATCTGACGCATCTTTGTCTGTGAAGAACTCGCACGAAGTGTCTGTGAACGCATTGCAGAAGTATCTTATGTAGTTTATAATTGCAGTAAACCGGTCATCAAGGGCATCCATGTGCACTGTGAGCAGGGCCCAGATAGTGCGCGCAAATGAGACTACATTCTTCTCTACGATGGTGTTTGCTGCATATTCATTTAGCTTTTCAAACATTAAATTCAGCCCGTCATTTGCCACTCTTTGGTCGCTGATCGTGTAGATAACCGAATACATTAAATTTCTGCTGATGTTTCTGATGAATAAGCCGGCGCACAGCTCTTTGTAGTAGTTTACAATGTGCATCCGCCCGTAAAGATCTATCATAAGCGACTGCACAGATCCATCCTGCTCTACCTCAGAAAGTATGCCATATGCGTGCTCCACCGTTACATCTGGCATGACGCATGTCGCAAAGAGTTCTCTAATTATTTTTGAGTACGGAATGTTCTCCAAATGTATTTCTTTGATGGACCGGATAAACAGAGCCAGCTGAACAGCACAGTCATCGGACAGAAAGACGGGTCCCTGGTTGAATTTAGATAGAACGTACAGGACAATGTATGGGTTGTCCAGTTTGTGCAGCACATGCAGGAATATTCTCTGTATTGAAGCTGTGCTAAGCTTTTTTGCTGTTTTCACCAGCAGATCTACCTTTGAAAGGAAGCTCTTGTTTCTGCTGTAGTACAAAGTGAGTCTTGCAAGTATTTGGTCTGCTCTGGCGAGCCGTTTGAGGCTTTCCTCTGTTTCGTGGTGAGGCTTTGATATTTTTTTAAAATCAATTAGTAATTTGCTTTTTGACTTTTCAAGCAGGGTAGTGCCGTATAATGCATCCTGTCTTCCCAGCATTTCTGTAGTGATGGGCTTCAGTGTAGCATCCTCTGAGTCGTGTCTTATCGTCAGGTTTACTGTCTTAGTGTCTTTTTTTGTGCTCTCTTTGCCGTCTATTTCGGTGGCCGTTCCTTGCCTAATCTCTTCACTAATTATGTGGCCGTCTTCTTTCTTTTCAGATTTTATCCGCTTTTCATTTCCTACTATTTTACCCTTTTTATCTTTCTTAGCGTCTTTCTTCTTCTTGCTTTTTTTATCTTTAGTGTCATCCTCATCATCTTTCTTGCCTTTTTTGTCCTTTTTACTCTTCTTGTCCTTTTTACTCTTTTTGTCTTTCTTAGAATCTTTCTCATCATCTGATCTAGAATCTTTCTTATCTTTGATATCTTTATTGCCCTTTTTACTATCCTTAGTGTCCTTTCTAACCTCTTCATCTTCTCTGTCCTTTTCATCTTCAGTGTCACCGTCAGTATCACTATCATTACTCTTCTTTTCATTTTTGCTCTTTTTGGGATCTTTGCTACTTTTCTTGCTATTTTGCACTTTCTTTTCTGTGCTGGCCTCCTCTGAGCTCACAGAGTCTTCATCTTCTGAGTTCTCTGAGCTGTCTTCTGGCTGTTTTTTGCTTTGCTTAGCTTCTTCTTTCTTTTTTTCTTTCTTTGGAG